CGCATAAATGTATTTATATTCGCCATTTTGATTAAAATGATGTTACTAATAACAGTATTTCCAAATCACATAGATATATGAACATAAAATATTCAGTTTAGCCACGTAACCTCGTCTTTGACGAATTATTCATATAGTATGCTTAATCACACGCACGCACGCACGCACGCACGCACGCACGCACGCACGCACGCACGCACGCACGCACACACGCACACACATACACACACCGGGGACACGATCGCATCGCGTTGGCGAATTAACACGTTCCGACGCGTCGCCCGCGCCGTTCAAAAGTCGTTGTTCGGCGAGCAATCCGTGAGCGGGCCGTAACGAGAGAAAACACGCCGCGTAACATCCGATAATTAGAGAGCGCTAGTCGGGTGCGGTGCGATCACCTCAAAGCGACCGCCGAGCTCCCGCTGATTAAGACGGCTTACAAGATTATCGTCTGCCTGCCTGCTGCACGTGCGCCAGCCATTGAGTCGCGCAGACGTCGCGATGTGCTCTCTTCGCGTGGAGGGCTTGCGAGGGCTGAGGCTGATCATAGTGATCGTAGCCGCATCGCGACGACGCATGCACCGACACAAAAACGGGCAAAGTAAGAGAGAGAGAAACAGCGAGAGAGCGCGAGAGAAGAGAGAGAGGGAAGGAGAGCGAGAGCGAGAGCGCGAGAGAGGGAGAGAGAGCGCGCAAGAGATAGATAGATAGAGAGAGAGAGAGAGAGAGCAAGAAAGCACGAGAGAGAGAGAGAGAGAGGGGAGAGAGGGGGAGAGAGAGCAAGAGAGAGAGAGCACGAGAGAGAAATGAGAGAGCAAGCGAAAGAACGTGCGCGAAAAAGAGAGTGAGAGCGCGAGAGAGGGCACGGGAGAGAAATTAAAGACGAGGTTTGGTTGACAGTAACATTATAAATAGTCATGACTATATCACGAGTCTAAAATATTCACGAAATATCTATGCATTCCAGAATATCCACGAACTACCTAACTATAACCCTGGCTTTAATACTCTCGTTGATCGTTACCATAACCCTAATCTTAATCCTAACATTAATCATTACCCTAACCTTAACCCTAACCCTAACCCTAAACCTAACCCTAAACCTAACCCTAAACCTAACCCTAAATCTAACCCTAAACCTAACCCTAAACCTAAACCTAACCCTGAACCTAGTTCTTCTAGTGTAGCCCTTCGCTCTCGCTCCTGTAGCGAGGCGAAAGGGCTACACTGGTAGAGCTGCCCATAACCCTAACCCTAACTCTTACTCCAACCCCAACTTCATAAATGCACGAAACCTCGTACAAAGGTCATACCATATTGCGCGACAGATAATGTGCAAGGATTGGTCACATGTTTGACTCACGTCGTCACGACTATTCATGTTCATTCTGGCCGCAGGGTCCCAGTACGTACGCGTGGATGTCGTATAGCGCGTCTGCGTGAAGCCCATCGCTGACACGTACACGCACCGCGGCGTCTCTAGCGACGCCGCGACGTCATCGGACGCCATCTTGAACGCGGCAAGACACCCGATTACTTATTCATCGCGCTCTCTCGAAATCTATACCCGCCGCCGAGATGAGGAGAGGACATGCGAGCGCGCGCGCGCTGTACGGCGGTTCGTGCTCTGCATGTCAGGCGCGACGTCAAGGTTTGTAGGGGCAAGATGAGGACGTGGCAGGAGCGCGAGTGTAATCCAACGGTCGCTCTGGTTTCTCCTATATAGTGGATTGAGTATCGAGGTCTACGACTTGTAGAACGTGTATCAATAGGATTATATTAGGTTTAGTGTTGAGATGCTATATATTTCACTTTCCGTCTTTTTCGTTTAATATATATTGGCCGTTCCACACACCTCTCGATCATTTTGCTTCTCTCTCTAATCCGCCTCTGCCTTTCTCTCATTATCCGTTCTTTCTCTGTCTATGTATATGTATATATATATATATATATATATATATATATCAGACTAATCCCGTCAGCCGCGTGACATATATTCACGACCAAATGAGAACCGGGTCTTGAATGTCGCTCTTAATTTGTTAATTTGGCTTCAGTGTCACGCGCACGAGAGCGCCCGCTCTCCGCCGCTCGTCGCTAATCAGCAACGGCAGCGAGGCACGTGCAATGGCGAAGCCAAGAGGAGCGCGCCTCCTCTTCCTCCTCCTCCTCCTCCTCCTCATCCTCCTCCTCATCCTCCTCCTCCCCGGCGTCTTCCTCAGCATCCCGCCCATTACCGATGCTCTTTCGTTAGGCGACCACTCGAGACTGCGGCGGCAATGTCGAGATGGATTGTTAAAACTAAGTTCATGTATTTATCATGAATTTTTGGGATGATTGCCAATATACCTAATTCTCGAACATTGTCTTTGATACATTAGTGCGTATTCAACTTAAAACATCTAAATTTGTCCACCAACAAACATGCAAATCATAGAAATTTCTAATGTTTTGTACGACGGTGACTTCGCGGCCGTTGGATTGCCATTTGCTGGATTTCCCCGGAGCTCCGCCCACTTTAAAAATAGTGCTAGCATTGTGGCAGTGGTATTATCACTGTGGTATTATCCTGAGTGTGGGAAGGGGCACTGCATGCAGTTTGCTCCTTTACGTGCAACAGATGGCAGCACTGTGTAACCAAAATTGAAGAGCTGTCTTTATCGGGGATAAAAACCTGAAAAAGATGTTACTGTTAGACAAATAAACTGTATCTGAAATTTATAATAGAAATGTGTTACTTTTACTAATGAAGTTAATTCTGTACACAAATATAAAGTTGCTCTTGTATTGAGCTGAATAGCTGACCCCCCTCAAATCTCATAATTTCTTAACTCATCTTTTCATCATTAAACTTTCTTAGTAACTTTCCATTGATCTACGAATTAAAAAATAATAATTTCAAAGTGTGACTAAATAATTGTGAATTGAGAAGTATTAGATTGACTACCAGACGACAAAACTCAAATCTGCTGTAGCAAGTCTTAGATGCAAGAACAGCATCCACAGAAGTCCCCTATGATGGCTGATGCCATGCAGAAAATATTTACCGTCTTATTCTGACGTTGTGTGGCTTCAGTGAATTCATCTGTATTGTTATCTTGCAGTACGCAGTATTGAATATTCCATTTCCCAAGGACAATGTCTCGCCGCAGATTGACGAGCAGCTAAAACAACAGGTGAGTCGAAATTCTGAAAACTATTGCTCAAATGTGCATTAATTAGTTACCATAACTCGACGTGTTTCTTGCATCGTATTCTGAGATTTTTTTACAATGTGTGCCGATCCACTATTTTAGATCGAGAATGAACTGTTGAAGGTAATCTGGAATTGTTTGGTTTTTAATTTTTGACCAAATCTTATTGCCTGGAAATGTTTTATCCATATATCGTATTCAAATTTCAGGAAGTCGAAAGGCAGAATTTCAACAAGCAATCGAATCAGAGGATTGAGCAATACAAAAAAGAGGTGAAAGCGTAACTGCAGATAATATCGAATAATACATGAATTGCAGTATTTATCCCAAACATGAATGTACTATCTGTGCATAATTAATAAATGGCAGATCATAGTTTATCCCTTCATCCTAAATAACTACCCGATCCTTCCGTGCATATCAGCTTGCATTGCCATCATCGAAATGGATAGATTACAGGGTGCGAAATTAACGCGAGTCCGGAGTCAAATGCTCCCTGATTTACTGTCGGACTCCCTGATTTGACATATGCGGGAGTCTGTGTGACTCCCTGAAAATTCTGCCATACTAACTAGTTCGTTCCAGAGCACGGCCTTGCGGAATTACCGTATTTTTCCAGCAAATGTCCCAAGACAATTTGGCAGACGTGCAACTGCATGAATCTTCAAAATTAGCACATGCGTTATTGTTAATATCTTTCATTTTGAACCTCAGACTGCAGACTCCCTCATTTTGCTGTGGACTCCCTCTTTTTGATGGTAGGGAGTCCGTTGGACTCTGTGTTCAAAAGTCAATTTCTACCCCTGGATTACATCGGCACCTTGCGAAAGACAGATCACACATTAATCCTAGATAACCTCCTGATCTATCAGTGCAGATCAGCTTACACCACCAGCAGCATAAGAGGGACCGTACAACATCCACAAATCTCTAAATAGCTCTCTTATCCGTATGTGTAAAGATAATCTTGTGTTGTAGGCAGCATTAGAGGGATAGTTGATTATCCCCCAATCCCTAAAGAACTCCCTAATCCGTCCGTGCAAAGATAGTCTTGCATCATAGGCAGAGTAAGAGGGAAGGTAGAACATCCACAAATCCCTAAATAACTCTCTGATCCGTCCGTGTAAAGACAATCTTGCAACGTCGGCAGCAAAAGAGGGACCATAGATTATCCCCATCCCTAAAATACTCCCTAAAGATAAATCGATAAAAAGATAATCGTGCGTCGTAGGCAGTGTAAGAGATGCAGAGAGTGCAGTCGATTAACTCCTCATCCCTAAAATTCTTCCTAATCTGTTCGCGTGCGGATCCTAATCCGTTTGTGTGGATCAGCCCGTGTCTGTGTTACATTCAGCGCGTTATAACTTATATTTCCACACGCTACAGCTCGCCAAATGGGAGAGCATGCTCCCCGTTGAGACGATGACGATGGAGGAGTTTGGCCAGCAGTTCCCCGGCGAACAGTGGTCCCAGGACAAACCGACCTGGTACCCGCACAACGAGATCGCGAGCACCCCAGAGTCGGACGCCAAGCGGCAGCAGACCACCTCCCAGTAGGTGGCGCTCTGCGTCGACAGCGAGCGTCGCCGGGGGGAGAGCCGAACCTGGGTTTTTTTCTCGTCATCGCGGATGCGCGCATTGTTAATAAAAGCCGGTGGAAGAATCGCGTGCGTTTGTTCGATCGCATTGCGGCTCTCGCTTTCTTATGAGCTAGTAACATTTGCCAGTGATAGATATTGTAGGGACTGATGGGTTGGGAAAGAGTGGGTGTCTATATCTAGCTATTCCAACACACTTCTGAATGATTTTCGATTAACTGCGAAATTAAATGGGATTGAAATTGGGTTTCAAAAGCATTACATGCTCGAAAGATGCAGAAAAAAGTTCTTTGAGTCTAAATGGTATTCAAATAGGTCATTGTTATTGTTGTTCGTTGTTATACTCGTATCTGATCGTAGTGTAACACGTAGTAATAAAGTTTTGTGAGACATTAAAGTTGTTCTTAAGGCTACTATTAATCTTTGTTTTTACATCACACAACGTTTTAACATCTATAGCAACTGTTATATATATACTATATAGCAATTATAGCAACTATGTTAACGCATACTTATGCTACATTTTAAATATTTGATAACACCAAGAATAAAATAATAAGACCTGATAACTTTGATGACAACAACAACATCGACAATACTCAACTTATGATAACGTCCAGAAATAGCTATTTAATATCCAATCTTGCTATTTTCTTTTTAAATTCGTTCCGGAGTTTGCGTCTACTATGCAACACAATCGTACCTGGTAACATCGCTGAAATGTACGTAAGCCATATGTTTTTTTATAATGAACTATTTCCAAAAGTACTTATATATAATGTACAATAAGTTTACACAATATCAACATTAATGTAAAGGTAACAAGGATCGCTGATGGTACAAAAGTCTGGTTAACGATACAGACATAATATAAAACGGTTTTGCGATGTAAGCCATATACATTAGTAAAGGCGAGCAAGCGTTCATTTAGCTATCGCTTTCTCTCGGTCGCCCCACGTGAATGTCTACGTGTACAGGTGCGTAACGGGGTGTGCGGGGATCAGTCGGCATACATCACAGGCACCGCCGCTCCCGCTAATTCTTTAATGCGGACCGCGCTTATAGCTGGTTGTTTAGATCGAAGGTGCAGATATGCTGCGGGTAATAATTTCACCTAACGGCCGCGTTATCCGGATTATCTGTATTGAGATGTTGCATTTAACAAGACGTCGTGCAACGCGCGCGCGCGTGTGTGTGTGTGTGTCTATGTGTGTGTGTGTGTGTGTGTGTGTGTGTGTGTGTGTGTGTGTGTGTGTGTGTGCGTGCGTGCGTGCGTGCGTGCGTGCGTGCGTGCGTGCGTGCGTGCGTGCGCGCGCGTGTGTGTGTGTGCGCGCGTGTGCGCGTATATGTGTGTGCGTGTGCGTGTATATGTGTGTGCGTGTGTGTGGAACATGCTAGTCATTGCTGTAAAGGCCAAAGCCTGAGCAAAATTTAACGGGAAGTCAATATTTCTTAACCTAAGTGAGTAATGACGAGGGAATACTAATTTACGGTATGATAACCCGCGCGTAGGATATAACGCAAGAATTTTGATTTTATTCTAATATTTATTTCGTCTTTTTCATGGTTTACATTTAGTAAGCATATTTTGTTTACAAATTACCAGGACTATAATCTGCAATAATGCATCTGACTTCTGGTCACCACCCGGTGAATTCAGATCTTGCTGTTGGATTGAGTTAAGCGCTGAGCAAGCGACGCGGAGAAAGAGGAATTTCTACAGATCTTAGCGCATGCGTTCTTTTATGGTCGGAATCTGCGCTCAGACTACTAAGGCGGATAATTCGCGCGAGCATTAGCTGTAAATTATCGTCGTTAGGGGGCGTGTCAGTTGCGCACGTTCACCCAACTCCCGCAGGCGCACACAGAGAGAGAAAGTGAGCGAGAGAGAGAGAGAACGGGAAAGAGAGATAGAGCGAGAGAGAGAACGGGAAAGAGAGATAGAGCGAGAGAGAGAACGGGAAAGAGAGACAGAGCGAGAGAGAGAGAACGGGAAAGAGAGACAGAGCGAGAGAGAGAGAGCGAGAGAGAACGGGAAAGAGAGAGAGAAAGAGTGAGAGAGAGAGAGAGAGAGAGAGAGAGAGAGAGAGAGAGAAGGAAGAGAGAGAGAGAGAGAGAGAGAGAGAGAGAGAGAGAGAGAGAGAGAGA